ATGGATTTCTTAAATTTGAATGCAATGATAGGTATCATTGTGTACGAATAACGATTTTGAACAGAGATGATTTATTAGATATATATAAAAAAATATTATATATGTATATATTATTATTATATTATAATAATCTTATATATAGAAAGCAGTCTTCCGAAAATTTTCTATTTAGATATAATTTCTATATAAATATCTTATATAACTATATTTAATTAACAAAAAATGAGTCGAAACGGCTCTTATTATTTTATTAGGAAAAATCAAATATTTCAAATGCCTATAAGTTGCTTAAAAATCAGTATAATATTTTGAAAAAAATATGCTTAAAGAAAATGCCAAAATTAATAACTAGTAAAAATTTCAAGTTTCTGCGACTTTTACTTTTTAAATAATAACAAATATTTAAAATCGTTTGAGGATAAATCATTATTTAACGCAATTTCGTAAAAATTTGAATTTAAACGGTCATAAAAATTTTTCCTTAAAGTCCGGTAGAAGTTTTTTATAGTTTTTTAAGAAATATCATATGGATAACCTAGTATTAAAATTTTGAACCTTAGTATAAACAGAATAAATTTTATGAATTTTTATTTACAAAATAATTTGCAAATTATAGTGATTTTGACACACATTTTATACAAATTTGAACTTAGGCTTATAAAAAAAAAATTGTGTGAAACGATTTCCAATTTTTTTTAGATGCAGTAAGTATAGCTTATAATGAACAATATATTAAATTTTCAAGAGTTTATGAACAGCCACATTATTTTTATAGATATTTAAAAAAAAAAGTACTTAGAAAAATCAAAAATTTAAATTATCTATAAATAAAACAAAATATGTCAAAACACTTTGAAAACTTAATCATGTTTAAAAGACGCGTGAAAATTTGAGGTGTTTGCGTTTTTTAGTTTTTGAGTTATAGCAAATTCCAAAAACCGATATGATTTGTCAGTCTAGAATATTATATATTATATTACATTTTATATGTAATTTTATGTCAATATTCGCTGTTCAAACGCTTATAAAATAAAATTGTACCTATGGATTTCAATCATTTTTGAATGACAATAAGAAAAACTTCTGTAGAATCATATATTAAATTTTCAAGTATTATGTACCAGACAATTTTTTTTTATTAACAATTAAAAAAAAAAAAAATTGTAAAAAAATCGAATATTTCAAATGCCTATAAGTTGTTTAAAAGTCAATAATATATTTTGAAAAAAAAGTTGCTTGAAGAAAATGCCAATCTTAACAACTGGTAAAAATTTCAAGTTACTGCGATTTACACTTTTTGAATTATAACAAATATTTAAAATCGTTTGATGATAAATCGTTATTTTATGCAATTTTGTAAGAAATTTCAAACGATCGTAACATTTTTTTCTTAAAGTCTGGAAAAAATGTTTTTATAGTTTTTTGAAGAATAACTTAAATATTTACTTTCCTTTTAGAAAAGTTGCTATTAAGAAAATCGAAGAATTTTTACTGCCCCAAAACGTGATGACAGACGCAAAAATAAAAAAAATAAAATAAAATTAAAAATTTAAAAAAAAAAATAATAATAACACGTTGTCCACGATGCTGAAGCCAACAGAAATAAATGATATTCCCAAAAAAAACCTAATGGTGAAAAAACGCCAAGTCCCAAACTTCCTCCCAAAAAAGTCGGCCTATCACAGTAGTGAAATCTACATTGTGGCCAAGTCTGGTATTTTTTAATTCATAGCCTCACTGCACTCCTACATTAAAAAGTAACACTCCTCTTTTATTTGTATTGTTTAACACTTGGCCAGTTTCTGAATGAGGCATAAAACTTCACTATCGAATATACTCATTTGTGACTTGCGTGGGTGATGAGGAGAAGAGAACTTAGAAAAAAGAAAAAGGTTTCGATTTTTTCTCAAAAAAGACAGCGAATCTTAATAGGTAGTGGTATCTACATGGCAGCCAAGTCTAGTTTATGCCTCATTCAGAAACTGGCCAAGTGTTAAACCAACTAATCAAGGTAATTTAAATAAAAATGTTTAGCGGTTACCAAGTTTAATAAAAATTAAATTTATTCGTAGATAATTTTTATATAGCCGTAAGATTTGGATGTCGCGTCGATATTGACGATTATGAATATTTAAGTAAATTTGGATAAAATTATGGCATTCTTCATACTCCAGCAATAACCATAACAAATTACAGTTATAACTAATAAGAAATTAGAATAACTGAATATTAATAGGTACACTGCATAATCAGTGGAGTACATACGGGTGGTTTCCGGGTTCAAACCCCCCTCCCCAGGGCCAAAAAAAAAAAAAAAATTGTTTTATTATTGATGATGAGTAATATATTCGTAGTTTCATTATTACGCTTTGAACTTAAAATATACACCCATACAAATATTATAATAATTAAATAATTATATTGATAGGTGTTTGAAAAAGTTTGTTAACTATACTGTTTTTATAATTCAATAGCTATTAATTTACTGTAATGTAAAAGTAAACTGTAAATTGATAAAAAAGTTGTATAAAATAATATCTATTTATAGCAGTTATCTGTGCAACGAAAAAAAAAAGATAACGATTATTTCTGTTAAACCCCCTCCAGAGCAATATTGAATGTACGCCTCTGTGTATAATAACTAATAACTCATAAAATAATTATAATATGAGCTTCTACAATTTACATTTTATAGGGAAAAGCAGAGTTCAAATTTTTTCTAAAATTTCGGAGTGACCGAGGCGTGGATAAGTTCCAATATTTTTTTAAAATGGTAAATATAGTAATATAATTAAATTTTGTAATAAGATAAGTTGAATCTCTTAAAACTCACCTTTTGAAAAAATAATTACCTACCTACTCAGTCAATTTTTCGAGTCACCACAATTAATATTAATATCGTATAATCGAAATTTATTGAAATACCCGATTTTGTCAACATTTAATTTTCTAATATTTATACAAATTATTTACAACTTTCCGATTAATATTTTTTTGGCTATAAGGAAATTCTAAATAAATAAATAAGGTGTTTCATAATTAATAGATGAATTGTATAGTAAGTAACGAGAAAAAGTAGAAAAAAAATAAAAATAATAATTACAATAATATAATAATATATAATACAATTAAACTAGTTGTGTTTTTAACATCATTTATGTTACAGGAAAACAGGTCTAAATGTGTAGAATTCCCAATTGACATGAGTGTGTAAGTAGGAGAATTTAGAATATAATTGGTTTTTATTTGTTTTAAGAAAAATAAATTATTGTTTCTAGTTTTAGCAATATTAATTTTAAAATTAAGATTTTCAAGTAAAGAATTACAATCTATTTCATTATTAAATAATATAATAAAAAAATTTAAGATAATTTCTACGATTTTTGAGAGAAGTTATATTAAAAAACCTAAGATCCCATCATAACTAGAATAAGGAGGTCTATCTACTTTACATTTAAAAGAAATAAATCGTAAGAAAAAGTTTTATATAGATTCGAGAGTTTGAATAGAGGTTATAATGTTTGGGGACCAAATTAGTACGGAGTATTCTAATCGAGATCTAACTAAAGAATAATATATATTTTTCAACACAAATGGGTTATAAAAATCAGAGCAACATTGTTTAAGGAAACCTAATCTGAAAGCTGCTTTATTTTTATTTTATTAATATGATCGTTGAATTTTAATTTTGAATCAAAACAAATGCCTAAATCGTTAATGAGTGATGTACGTTTAAGCGAATGTGCTAATAAATTATAATTATATGCAAGAGAAGTTTTTTTCACCAATACATTTTCCTCTTGTTTCACTCAGTTTCTTAAGTTATTTCTTATAGAGTATACCAACATACTAAATTAATTAAACATTTTTCTAAAAATTAAAAAATAAAAGCAGGTGATCTGAACTTTTCGCGTAGTCTGTAACGATTATTTGTAATGTTTGATCGCAAAATAGAAAAAATTTAGACTAATCCACAGTATTTTCTAGATTTGGTGTAATTACTGGCTATACATATAGAAATGTTGAGATATTAATATATTATGCAATATTCGCGTTGAACACTTGTACACCGTTACAGGTACCCATACTTTTGAAAAATAAATAATAACCGATAGTTAGTGTTTTTAAAGTATAATTTAGTACAATAAAATAATATTAATTAAATTTTTAAACTATTTTATGTCATCATTTATTGAATCCTAATCCCACATTGTTCATATTCCGATTAAATATATTAAGCTTGATTTCAATAAATGAAAAATATTTCTCTAGAGAATATAATAGGTACCTAAAATTGAATAATAAAACAAAAAAATATGTAACAAATTTATAAAAAGTTTTTTAATAAGTATTCTGTACTCGTATGTCAGTTAAGAATTATAATATATTGATATTTAATGGCTTACTTATGGCTAATAAAAAACAAAAAAGAAGATATTTATAAAAATTTCATAGTTACTGCTTTTGCTAAAATTTCTCATAGCAGGATGCAGCTGTTATATATTATAACATTAAAATCAAAAATATATTTTTATTTAATGTTTTTGGTAATTTTTTATCTGAATATTTTTTTTAAAATATATATCAATAAAAATATCTTAATACATTTTGGAGAATTCGAACTTCCTCATCTACCCTAACTTACGCCCATCACACAAGTAAAACAGTTTTAGTCCCCCAGATTAAAAATTCTGATTAGAATTATGTAGTTTTTTAATTGTTGTACAATACGTTTAAATAATCAATTACGAAACGAGATTTTTAAATCGCATTAGGTTTTTTAATTGGTTAAATGACAACTCAGTGGTGACTTATTTGCATTGCAAGTCCGTCCTCGGGTTTCGTATGCGGCTAACATTGTTCGATACGTAAAGTTCTGACAAAATCATGTGGAAGTAGTGAAAATATATATCTACGACAAGGACCTTGAATCATCTGCAGATGCCTCCTCCCACTACCGATTGAATAATCCTGCATGCATAATATAATATTATAATCACCGTCGAAAGTCACCGTGTACGTCCAATCGTCCTCAGACACCCATCGATAAGCTACATCGTTGTACCGGCGCAACGGGTCTTCCTTCAAAACGCCGTTGGCTCGGAGGTCGGCGAACACGCCACCGGGTACCCTTGCTGTCCCCATGATACCTGAAACGTAATGTACAATATGTTGCACTACAGCGATTCGTAATACGTATTTGTCAGCGAGCGAGTTACAACAACGTCAGATTTTCAGCGGTATGACGTGCGCGCGAACATTAGATAGTCAAATGCGCTACGTTGCAGGTAAACACCATGGCCGTCGCCGCTGCACGAACTTACTGGTATTTCCGTTCGAGAAGCGCCAGTCGGACGAGCCCAACGGACATTGGAAAACCGCGGCGGTGGCTGACGCAAAAAAGCAAAGCGCAACCGGTAACGAACGGAACGGCGACAACATTGTCACAAATGCCCGATCCGGTTTACAGGCAAAAGTTGTACTGAATAGTTCAGAGTATACGCTTGGCCATAATATTAAATAGCTCTTCCCAGTACCGTCCGGCCGACCGACTAATAATTTGACGTCTCCCAAATACCGCGATAATGTATACACGCACGGTACGACTTCGTTGGCGCGCGTACCGCCGCTGCAAAGTCCTAAACGATAGCGGTTCCTCGCATATTTTACCGAAACATTTGTGCGTCGTTCATTACCACTTTTATACCCAACCTATCCGTACGCAATACGCGCACGAACTCGTATTTGCTTTGCGTGCTTCATACAATACGTGTAACACACGGTTTTTAAAAACATTTTATTGTCATGTGCGTTTGGTACAATGATACGTGCAATCCGCGCTTAATAATAATTATTGGTGTATTTAATACGTATTGCATACGTGACGCAACACGCATGCTCCCTGCTCAGATCGGTCCCCCTCCCCGCGAACCTATGATGCGCGAGCGACGGGCGCAGCGTGGCGGCGGCGGCGCTATTCGGCGAATACGATATAACAACCCGAACCGTCCGGTCGTGCGAGTCAGTCGAAGTTGGACTGCTTTGACTAGTCGACGTGCGTGTCGTTTGTCCCACGCACCCGCAGCATCCGAAATCGATAATAATTATCGCCCGTGCCCTCGCCACACCGACATAGGCCAGTTTTCATCGTTCGCAAAGAGTTTCCAATCGACGCAGACGAGACTCGCGTTTTGACGGCGCCGTTGCCAGTTATCCAAATCTCCGCGGAACCCGTCCGTTTACGACAGCGACAACAATGGATGACAATCAAAATGGCGCCGCAATCGCACAGCCGCCCAGCAGCGATACCTGCGGAATGATCGGCAACCACAGCGATGGCCCGGCAGCGGCAGCCACAGCAACAGCGGTACCACCGATCGCGATGAGAGCGCCACCACCAGCAGCGGTACCAGCTGCCTTCGGAATTCTGGCGCGCCCAGCGCCCCCGTACGGCGCACATCTGAACAACAACAATAACAATTCGGTCATTAAAGGACAGCTAAAGGTACGAATAACGCTAGCGCGCATGCGTTGATCGTCGCAACGGAAATAACAACTGAATTCTCTCCGACGAATCCTCCCTCCCTTATTTTGTTCCGTATCACACCATCTGTATTAGATGTATTACAGATGTGTCTGATGTTTTTCTCGTTGCAATTACGTTATAATTTAATATCTTTCTGTATATTACCCCTCCCCTGGTTCATTTCTTGTACATTTCCATCAGCAAATGGTTACGGGGCCAATTTACGTATTCGGGTCTGAAACCTTGATCGTAAAAAGTAAAAGTTCTCCACTACATCATGTAATTTTCTCATCTAAATTTATTATTTGGTAGTACCGATTAATGTTAAACTAATTGTTTCAAATGCCAACCAATTGAATTTAAACCCATACACTAGATCATGTACTCATAAATTGGCATTATATGAATATGTTATAACATTTAGATGGGCTTTATGCTTTTAGCAATTATTAATTTATTGCCTTTAGTATATTTCATAGTCACATAAACTATGCACATTATTTGTACTAAAAAGTATTTTAATGACACAGAAAATGATCCATAGTCATATATTACAACAATATAAATAAATTAATTACATTAAACTTTGGTATAGATGGTTCATCATTTGAATTAGATACTTATATCATTTTTGGTTTAATCTTAAAGATAAATAGTTCCCATTAACCTATGTAAAATGAATTATATATATATATATATACACACACACAATTTACTGTCAAGGACAACTATAAGAAAATTTAAGAATTAAATTTTTTACTGTGTACATGAAACATTAACAAAATAATTTAATTAATTAAACAATATATGTTATAAAATGGGATTATTTGTGATATACTGCCTGGTATTTTTCATACAGAATATGTATTGACAATTAAATCTATACTTAAAAAATTTTTGTGTGTATATCTGTGCATTGAATTTATACTTAGATGTGCATGCTATTATCAATCCCATCTAAATATAAGTTTCTTTATTTCATTTCTACATTTTTGGAAAAAATACATAGTTTTTAGATTAACTATATTTGTAAATAATTAAGTATAGTATAGTATAGTTGATCTGTTGGTATTATTTCAAAATTCAGAAAATATCTAATTTGTTCAAAAAAAAATTTAGTGATTCTTAAAATAATTAATCAAATATTTTATAGGGTCCCGGTAACCCAGATCACAGGACTAGACGTCCGCGCCGTGGTAAACGTAAAAGCAAGAAAGTCACTCCATATACAAAAGATGGAATGATGTTTCGTCTTAAAGCTTTAGCACCCAATAACACCAATCAATTTTTAATGGACGATCATAATGATGGACCAGACATTGATAAAAAACTATCTGCCCGATACAATGAGAATGGACGTAAAAGAAATTCAAGTTATACTAGTATTGAGTCGGAAGGAGAACAGATATATTCTTCATCAGATGATGATGGTACTTCAATACAGAAAGAATTTATTGATACCTATAGACTTGTCCAAGAAGAAGAATTAGATGGTTTAACAAAAAACGAGCTTACCCAAAGAGTAATTGAACTTGAAGAAAAAGTACAAATGCTTGAATCTAAAAGGTAAAAAATAATTTTTATTATTTATAATTTAAGTTCAATTTTCTTATTAAATAATTATATTATCTGAATAGTTAAAAATTTATAATAGATAAATATACTATCCATCAGATAGGTTATATATAATAGAAAATCTATGAAGCTTAATTAACAATAACAATAGTAGTAACCATAAATTGTGTTTAAATATAGGTTTAAAAAAAATATGACGTATTTTAATGGAATACCTAAAGAAGATGAAGACGATTCAATTGACCCAGAAGAATATAGATTAATGCAAAAGCAAATTAGAGAGTTGACAACACAAAACAAAATGCTGCAAAATGAAATTGAAATGCTAAAACAAAATCCTAAGAGGACCACCAATTCAGATACCTCTATGGATAGCGAAAGCTCATCAGATTCCAGTGATAGCTCTTCCAGTTCTTCTGAAGGACATTCTATTGAAATGAAATTTTCACTATGTAGTGGACCAGATGATCGTATACTAAATAATGATGATTGATCAGCAAAGTACCAAATTGATGTAAACACTTTTTCCTTTTGTAAATATATAAGTATATATTTATATATTTTTTTTAAGAACTTCAAATAATACTTTTAATTTATGTTGTTAATATTAAGTTTTACCCTTTCTTCATCAAATTTTTGTTGAAAAATGATAATTTGAATAGTTTTAATACTCATTGTATTTTAATTTACTGGTATATTACATTAAATTTTTTATTTTTGTAAATTCCGGTAATGATCTCCTTAAGTATTACACATAATATAAGTTGAAAGCTTTTGTTTTTCCATTATAAAACAAAGATCATGAACCCCTTAACATACATACATAAATATATATATATATATTAACATAATTCCAAAAATTCCTTTTTAAGGGATTCATTTTTTACCTAACCTAACATTAGCTGTTCTTTCCAAAATTGACAGTGTTTTACAGGTTTGGTGATGTTACCACTTGTACGCTATGTTGTGTTGTTTTTTTTTTCTAATAAATTGTATGTAGACAACAAAACAGTTAAAATAAAATTTTTTACTATGAACTGTTAATCATGTCATACATATTTTTTAGTATTAACAAATTTTTATTGAATATATTTTAAGCTTAATATTCTGAATTTAATCAAGTAAAATATGCTACCATTAAAATTAAAATGCATAAAAATGAAAGTTTTATCACTGGTAAGAAGAAAAAAATTATTGTCAAGGTATAAAACTTAGTTTGAAATATCAGATATATAAATAAAAATATAAAAAATTAACAAAAAAAAATAACTGGCCTTCAATTAAAAATAATAGTTGTAAGAAAAAGTTTCATGAGTTAATTTTCAAGATTTTCGACCATCAAATACCAATATTTACATAGAATATCATCTTTCTCTTGTAGTTCTTTAATAGTATCTTCTTTATTTATCATTGCAACAAAGCAGGCTTCTAAATAATTTCTAGTTCTGAAATAGCTCTTTGCTAATAGTTCTAATAATTTACCCATTTCCAATGATGTACCTATAAACACACAAGTAAATAATTATTTCCTTTAATTAATGAATTATATTAAAAGAAGAACTGAGCTAGTTTAAAACCATATCATTTTGATAAAATAATATTATTAATTGGTGAGTAATATTTATAATTAACATACTACTTTCCAAAAACCTCATTAAATCTTAACAATGATTAGTTAACAATTAATTGTATATTTAATCTAGATTTAAAATTGGAGCAAATGCATGTTTTCAAATTCGCCAACAAAATAAAATGAAACAAATACTTAATTCCTTACATTATTAACACATACAGTGATATTTTAAATAACTTCTAATGATACTTTACAATAAAGATTTAGGATTAATTTTACATAACCATTATTCATTTATGCAGAATAAATATTTAAGATTAACTATGAAGTAAATAATCCATAAAAATGATGACATGGTTAAGATTAAAATTATGTAGGATACAAAAAGAATATGTATCAATATAATTTTAAACCATGGATGTCTAAAAACAATACAAAACATTAAAAGATGATATTCTCACTACATTTTTTTATAAAGATTGTTACTAATTAAAAGGTAATAATATGTTTCAGAATGTTTACTATGGAGTTGAGAAGTGATTACCATGTAACAACTCCTGGATATTGGTGGTAACTTTTGTTATAACATAATACTGTCAGGTAATTCAACTGTGAAATACTAGAGTAAAATATATAATAAATTATACTTATCAAAAGACAAGGATGTAAACAAGAGAGATTGATGTAGGTAGTTATTAATTATTTATTAATCAAGCAATATGTCCTTAATCATACATCAATATTTATTAGGTTGTATAATTTCATAAAAAAGAAAGAGAAAAATGTCATGTTTCAATTATTTTCCAAAATCTGAAAACCTACCATGAAAAAAATACACATCTGATAATAAATTCCTTAAATGAATTTAAAATAATTACCTTATAAATAAAAGCTATCAGATAATAACTATAAATAAATATTTCTATATTTACATTTAATAAAGAATATTTAAGGAAACAATTTGAAAATAAATTTCAAACAGCTTATTCAATATATATGTATTTTTTTTTTTTTTTGTAATATTTTAGAGTAAAATGAATATGTTCAGATTAAAGAATTTCAATATATTTTTAAAGTACAATTTATTTCTGAAAAATTAAATGTTATAACTTTTTATGATCATTAGATAAGAGAAAAAAAAATACTATAAATACATTTTGACAGAATGCTCAGTTTGAATGGCAAGTAAATTAACTCCTTATCTTGCTATCCACTATCTTTTAAAAATGTTTTTTTTTGTTTGCACTCTAATTATGGGCTATTCTATTTTGAGTTTGTTATTGGATATTTGTCTAATCTGCTCATTTTGTGCATAATTACTTATTAACATATATATATATATATATATATAAGTTACAGTGCAAACAAAGAAATGAAATTGTAAACACCAGGAACAGCACTAGAATTTTATTCCATAGGGGGGGGGCAGAATGGATTAAATATTTTTTTTACATGGGCTACTAAATAATAAAATGATAAAAACACTAGACATTGAATACAATGGACAGTACTAATGATAGTGCCACATTGAAAAAATATATAATAAGATTAATTAATTTATAATAAAAGAATTAGATTTTAATATAATACCTATATTTTTGAACCTATAATAATATAGATGTAATCTAATATTTTTACTAATTTAAAATTTTTGAAATGTGTGGGTGATTATGGTATTTGATTGATATAATAGTACATCTCTTTGGGTAACATTTGTTGTCATAAATACAGCAGACATAACCTTGGCCTTCTATATTGAAATGGAAATCACTTTTACTATTTATCTGAGTGATAACTGGGGTTTGGATGTTTATGGAATTGAATAATTTTTTCTATTGATCCATTATAATTCGGATCTGGATACAAATTTGATTCAAGTTCTACTGAATCAAAAAAAAATACTATTTTTAATTTTGCATATTTCAGTAAATTTTCAAAATTTTTCAAAAATAATTTAAATTATTAGGTAAATAAATGATAAATTAATGACCTGTATAATTGTTTTGTCTCAAATATTTAGAATTACGAGTTTGATCGAATTAAAAAAACCTTTGTATCACAGTATAACACTCAGTTAAAATTAATATATACCTAATATTAAAAAAAATTATAAAAATAAATTTTACTTTACAAAATTTGGGGTTTTTTTTTTAGCTGAAATGGATATTTGGTAATTTTTTAGAGGATAATTATCTAAACTGTAGTGATAAATAAACTTTCTTCAATAAGTTAAAATAGATGAAAATAGTCCACAACAATAAAGTTCATAATAAACTTATACATTTAGAATGAATTATACACAATGACCACACACCAGTATTATCATTGTATACAATGAGATTACAATGTACTACAATGACTAGTCTATATTGTGGAAAATAAATATTTATAAATTACATTGGCCAAATAATTAATGCTTTGTATATTAAGCTCGGTGTATACTATGACCAATTATATTATTATTATAATATATATGCATATAAGAAAAGCCCACCTTGTCAGTATAGTTAAGCCAAGCATCGTTAAATTACATGAAATTACCTTTCATTTAAACCAAACTCAAGTAGCTTGAAAATTCAGAAAGAAATGTACCTTTAAATTTCAAAATAAAAAAAAAAAACTTAATTTTGAGAAAAATAAATTTGAAATTCAAAAATTAAAAGATGAGCCATTTTTTCCAACACTTTAAATTGTAATATCTACAATTAACACAGTGGCAGCTTGGATCTGTCTGTACAAATGAAGGACAGTTAGAGGTACATTGATCTGTTGAAAACTGAAATTCAAATTTTTTACTTTTTTCAAATGAATTTGCCTTTATTTCAAAAAAAATACACACACACACACACATATTTATTACCATTTGCACATTAATTTAACTACTATAAATTAAACTAAAATAGTCTATATTATGGAATACAATACTGTAATTGATAATAATTTGTGTTTTTCCTTTAAATATGTATAATTTTTATCTGTTAACTGTGAACATGAAAATTTCCGTATTTAATATAGAAAGAATTCAACAATAAATAAAAATACCACATAGGGAAATTATATATTATGTTTGTGTAAAAACTATTTATGATGAAGTATATAGTTTTTTAATTTCAGATATTAATATTTATAGTAACTTAATTAAAATAATTATAAATTAAAACTTAATGACTTAAATAAAATAATATAAAAAAAACACAATATTTTTTCTCAAATAAAAGGAAGGTTACATGTGCTTACTAAATAAGATAAAATAAAAAATTGTTTAACAAATCTATTATTATAGATCTGGTAAGGTCTTGAATAAATGTTTTTATTTATTTTTTATTTTTAGATTTTTACAATTACCAGAAAAATGACTATCATTTGTTAACCAATGAAAAACATAAGAAGCCATTTCAGTAATAATTTGTTTATATGGAAACACAGATGACATAGAAGGTACACACATATTGTTTTTTTATAACTAAGTATTAGTGGACGAAAATATATTAAATAAAATGATGATATCTTAGCTTATGTTTGAGAAAATATTCCATTGAATAATTTATTACATTTATAGTTTGTATGATCCAAATATATTGGTAATATTTAAATAAAAGTTTAAACCAGTGATGGCACAGAGTTTTTTCTACTGGAATTACCAATTTTATAGGATCACTCACTAAAATCATTTAAACTACATCATTTTAAAAAGCCATAAATTCACTGGCTATATACATAATTATATTTATAAGTTATATTCCTGCATTTCAGATTTCATATTATTATTATAGTGTGTTCAAGGTATGAGTATTTTACTATAATAATTATTTTCTTGATTCATTTTTCAAAGACTGTCCACCCCCATTTTTTTTAAAAAATGAGATGATTCAAATATAACACTTATGCGCCGCCACTGATTTAAACTTAGTTATCATCCAGACTACTAATGATTATTGATTATACTTTGAAATACCTTTCTTTATTAAAACAAAGAAAAATAAAACTTATTTACAGATATTTTCATAAAAATTTAGTTTAAGAGAAATATTTTCATTTTTTAACTTCCAAAATCATTTTTTAGGTACAGAAAGAACAGATTTTTAGTGTACGTGTTATATCTGTATTTTTGATAACAATACTTTGCTTTATTTATAATTAACTATTTAAAAAAATTTCTAAAGATTCATATTTTAATACATAGATACAACTGCCTGTTATTTTGGTTATTAATAAACTTAGTTATAATTTAATATAATAATTTGTTTTTGTAAATTAATAATTAATATAAATTGATTTAGAAGGGTCAAAAGAAAAGAATGAGTAATTTTTTCTATAAATATGTAGTATATTTATTTAAAAAAAAACTAACTTAAATGCTCTTTAATTAGTAAACATTGAATTAAGATTGTCAAGTATATTAATGTAAAATAGAAAAACCAATCAAACAAAAAATAGAAAACAAAATAATTCAAGAAATTATTAGTAATTTACATTAAATGATAGTGGAAAGTGTTCTATTTTTTAGATTTTAAACCAATCTATTATTCATAGATATAAAATATATTTATTGTAAAAATATTAGTAATAAATACATTTTTTTTATTTTTGTTTTAATATAATTTTGATGCCATATGACACCTAAGATTTAAATAAACTTTAATCAAAAAAACAATTATTATTAAATAAGAGTTTACAATTTACTTTCAATTTAAAGACATTCATAATAGTTCACTACAAATTTCTTTAAATCTAAAGACTCTATAATTATAATTTAATGTACATTTTTAAAATAGAATTTTAAAAAATAAATTTTAATTAAATATATCATAATTATAAATTGTAATCTAAAATCCATTTAAACATAATTACTACTATATAATTTGCTATTTAATACCAGTATTACAAAAAATTAAAAAATACATATTATTGAATTCAATAGACAAAAAGTTATTTGATTTTTTTTTTTAATTAATTTATAATATAATAATTTTAATATTTTAAATGATATAATAAAAAAAATATTATACAAATATTACCTTGCATATATAAATTACTGTATATAAGTTCTGTAAAACTTTTATGTTTACTATAATTATATAAAAAATAATAACTTACTGTATGGTGTCATTTCATACAATTTTGGATTAGTACTCATTTTTTGTAAAAGATTTTTCCATATTTCTAATGTCTCAATCACTTGATTAATAACAGATATTTCTTGATGAGATAAAATATTTTTAAATAAAACTAATATTTGTGTAGCCTGAAATCAATGTTATTTATAGTTTATTTATAGCACTAAAATTAATTGTAAAAAAATATTATGTTACCATTAAGTAGTCATCTCGAATTGTTAAATAAAATCGTTCAGTTTCAGTCACAGATTGCACAAATCCAATAATTCGATTACAAGTATCTAAAACACCTAAATCAACTTTTTCCATATAATTTTTGTAATATAACCACATATGTATGAAAATCTGTTGTATTTCAGATCGAAATTCAGTTGAATGTTCAGTGATTAAACAGAGTTTCCATTTTAAATCATACGCAGGTATTTTTAGAACCCTAAAAAAATGATAACAATTTTATTAAATGTTTATAAGTAGGAAAACAATTGTATATCATAAAGTGAAAATTTATCACTAGGACTTTACAAGATTTTAAGGAACTCATATACCACAAAGGCCAAACAAAAATACAATAAATAAAAAATGATTGTATACTGTATATTAAATAAATCCTAGCAATAAATATTCAATTTACTTTAAGTATTATAACAAATTTTACCAGACCACAAAAATTAAAACTCAAACCTAAAGTTCAGAAATCCTGTTATTAGCACTATGAAATTAAAATAGAATACTATAAAATCTTACTATCCCAACTGTGTAAAAAAAAAAAATGCTTTATTGGTCCACAAATTATAATTAAAACAATATCAATAAGTAATATGAGTACTAAAAAGTATAAATATTTACTGAAAACATATTTTGTAAAATGGTACAAATTCTGATGAACATTTTTTTAATGATAAATTCTTTGCTGGTAATCCTTGAATTGATTCTGATTTTTTGTGAATAACAGATGGACTAACCTATAAAATATCCACAATTTTTAATTTATATATTGTACTTAAGTTTTTAAAAATATTAAATTTTAAAATACTGATTACTCAAAAGAAATATTTATATTAAGGGTAATATTAACTTATAGAAAATGATTAATCACTATATTTAGTTGCAACATTCTTTATATTAGAATGAAATATATGGTCCAAATTTAAAGGATAATACTTTCTTACACTAAACAATTAAATTTATAAAATACTCATATCATTCATCAGATTAATAGTTATTATTATTATTTTTTTTTCATTAGTTATGATGAATTGAGATACAGTAGAACCTCTCTAATCCGTCATCTTCGGGACTGAAAGTATGATCGGAACGCGAAAAAGGTCGGATTATCAGAATATAAAGAAACATTTTAAAACAAAATGTTATTAAATTTATTTATTAAACTATTTTAAACATTAATTTTAATTACATACATATATTAAATTAAATAAATAATTAAATAATAAAATAAATAAAAAATAGATAAATAGTAAATGGGCAATTAATTTTATAAATATATTTAGCCACATACTATAAATTGTAAAATTCATATTCATATCGATAATACTATGGTCGGATCAACAGGAATGGCGGACGAGAAGGGTTCTACTTCATTTGTATTCTCATTAGATAACAATAGATAAATTTTAATCAATATAGAATAATACTTGAAATTAGCTAGCCAAATATTAGTGAAAAGAAAAATATTAAACAGAGAGTAATATCTTGGAAATACAAAAGTCAAAAGGAAGATTGTGTTTTACAAGTAATTATTAGTTTTTTAAATATTTATATCATAAAATATATCACTGAAAATAGTTTAAATAAATATGTAATCTGTTCTTAATCAATGTTTGATTGAACCTATCAACATGTTTTATAATTATTAAGCAAAATATAAATTAACATGTTAAAAATAAGTAAAAATGTTAATACAATTATTTTTAAGAAATTTTAAAATAATATAATCGATTAATATAAATTTAACCATGAACTAAAAGTACCTGGGTGGTCTGTTGATTTTCTAAAAACTGATTAAGTACAATAGTTTCATTACTCATCATCATTAATTGTTCATAATAAGATATTTGTTCTTCATTTGGCAACTCAAATTCAGGAACTATTTAAAACAATTAAACATTAAACATACTTTTAAAGAATCAAACATACATATTAATCATAAGACTATAAGCTAATAATTATTTCTAATATTGGATAACATTTAAATAAATAATTCATCCATTCCAGTATTTAATATAAAATTTGAAAAGATATAGACAATTTTGTTTAATGTTAAATGTACACAATCAATATACATACACATAAACATGCATACACATAAATTATTCAAATAATTAATTATATTCATGACTTTTAGGGTATCAAATTAAACAATTTTACAAAATAAATGAGTTAAAACTATTAAAATTAGTTTTAATCTAGTAAAAATGTTTTCATATTAGTAACAATGCTCATAATAGAATAATTAACCAAATTAATATTGCATTTTTCAATTACTGATCTGTAAAATAAAATGTTTGTATAAAAACTAAAATGCTCTGAAAAATTCACTATTATCAAAAAACACAATTGAATAATAAGTACCTTTCCAATGTTAAATCTAGTAAAATGTTTGTCAATATAGTTGGCAATTGATTTAAAAATATTTATTTATTTTTAAATCTTTGCATCTAAAATGTTAACATCAAAATTTAAAAAAAGACTTCTATATCAAGTTAGACTTATGATAAAGCAGGTGATAAAAGGATGTATGAATGGTATTGCAGAATAGCAGTATATGGCAGAGCATATATAACATACAAAATATGTGGCACTAGTGCCACACCAGTGACAATTGAATGCTACCCAATGGTGGATGATCGTGCCACTAATCAACACATTCTTATAACAACCATAGGGACAGGAGTTGATTTTCTCTGTATGTCAGACCCTGATTTACGCAATCCCAGATGGAGCACTTGCACTTGGCCCCCAATTTATGAGGTCTCCCAGTTACCGAAGTCATAGAAAATTGTATTTTTAAATTAATTCCACAAACATTTATTTTGTAAAATGTAATACCAAGTGTCAATATTCAGATTTCAGTATATTTTTATCATTGTCAGTTAAATTTTGGTTATTTTTGTCATTCCACATCCCAGTTCTAATCAATTACCATCACAAAATATTAAAATAATAATAGAAAATTGTTTGAACATTGGAAATATTTTATACCTATGTTTTAACTATTTATAGATTTATTCGAGCCTGGTATTTACAGATTTACCCGTTGTTGGTGACACTATGAGCATTTCGTTCACACAATTACCATTTTCAGTACCACTGGTTTAGATTTTATTTGATTTTGACATTTAATAAGTTTTGAGAATGAATTTGGAAAAAATAAGCTTTTTTTGTAGGTGCTTGGTAGGGGTAAGGAAGCAAGATTAAGTTAGGTTTATGAGTAAAATATTTAAGTAACAAATAAAACTTTTTAAATTCTATTTCATATTGTGATACCACAATAAAAAATATTAAACAATCCACTATCGAGAAATCGTAGTAGCAAGGTTATTAATGTTTTGAAGTTTAACTGAACATTACAAAATGTTCCATATTGTCATGTTATTATTGTTATCAATTATAATATGAATATATAATCATATTTTATATCAATCAGCCATTTCACATGTTCAAGATAAACCATTTTTATTTCTATGTAGACTTTGTAAAAACCTCAGAAAAATTTCTGGGAGGGTTACAACCCCCAAACTCCACCCCTAGTTGCGCTACTGTATATTTTAAAATATGGTTGATATAATAAAAGAACCAAATTTCTCAATAAGATATATTGTACTTTTAATGTTCTATCGCAAAAAAAAAATTTATAATTTTTAAAAATAAAAAACTTTGGGTTTCCATAAACAGCTCTAACTTAATTTTCTTTTGAATCTATGAAATGTCTAGTGAAGTTAAGTTTTCTATAGATAACTACAATTTATGTACAACAAATTACAATAAAATTAACTTACCATTTATAGGATAACTTATATTAAGAACATTTCTTCTTGGATTATGTATTTCAGTTTGCATATACAAGTACGGATTTTTATCGCTGTGTAATTCAACTCCACTAAGTAAAATACAGAAAAATTTAATAATAATGTATTTCTTTGGACCAAGTGGTCAACAATTTTGAAGATAATTTTATAAAAATAAAATAAAGGAGAGCAATAAGTGTTTAAATATATCTGAGTATAACTTATTATAAATTTGTTTTACAGTTATATTTTATTACTAGGTAAAATTTAAGTTGTTTAATACATAAAATAACTAGGTACATTTGCATTTTTTAAAATTCAACCACAAAAATAATTAGCTGTCTTTTAAGTACTTAAATACCTTTAACCTAATTCTTACAATTTATTTTCATCTATTTTATCCTTTAAATAGTATTTATTAATGAATTCATATAAGGTTACTCTTGGACCCCAATTAAAAATAATAATGATAAAAAAGCTTAGAACTAATTCTTTTAACTTCAAATTAAGATTGTCTACTAATTAATTAGTTCAATATTATGAGTTTTTATACTATGTAAGTTATTAATTAATAAATGTACAAAGCTTTATGAATTAGTTAAAAATTACGTAATAATTGTACTTAATTAATTAATAATTAATTAATAATATCAATAACAGCTAACTTACTATAGAAGAGGTAATAGAAACTTATAACTTAATTTAAGTAAAATAATTGGGTAAATACCGTGAGTAAGCATAAGCTGGTAATCCTTCTCTTAAACTTTTCTTCTTGCCTTCTCTATCTGACTTGTAATTTGCATACATTTTCTATAATTCCACGAATAAAGAAAACTACAATGGATAATTATATATTTATATAAGTATATTGATAAAAGCCCATCAATTAACTCATAAAAATATTATTTTTAATGAACGAATTCCATGCAGAGAACCAATTTTGACGATTTAAGAAATGTAATTAAATATTGAAAAAATCTTGATATATGATTTATTATAAATAGATATAATATAAAATTAGTGAAAAAACGAAAGGAAATACAAAGCACTAGAAACCAACTACTAAATTAATAATCCAAGATATAAACAGCTAACGAAGGTTGATTGACGACTACTTGAGTGGAGACGCGTCGCCGTCCATTGTAACTTTGGATTTTTGTAAACAATGACAGACGACCCGACAACAACCACGTTAAACAAAAAATAGGCAATAGTTAATACCTAGTACCCATCACTACTATCTAGTGAATTTGACGCCATATTATCGGTTAAAGAGCAGTTTTACCAATTGATTATAAAGTTATTTAAAAATCTTATTTGCTTTAAAATACTAATTGTATTGTATTAAATTATGTTTATCGCCAACTACACATAATGTTAACCAATTACTGTTAAATAAGTGGGCAAAAATGAAAAACACAAAACTGTTAAAACCAGTTTTACCCTACATTTTAATTGTAAATCGTTAGTTACCTAATTTTATTAATTGGGCACCTATTATAAATTATCAATAATTAATTATTTTTCTAGATATTAAATACTTTGTTACAAAACTATATTAAGAATTGATATATTTATTATGCTTATTATTATTCAAACAGACTAAGAAAATATGTTTATGATTAACTAATTAGGAACCAACTCTGAAAGGTACGAGAAGAATACATTACAATAAACTGGAAAAATGTATTTATAATAATGACTCGTTAATAGTAGTTCTTAAAATATGAACATTTTATTAATTACATTAGCATTGTTTACTTTTGGAGTTGAGAGTGCTCATTGTTAGATAAAAAATCACAAAACGATTTAATTGTTCAAGGCAAAGCTCATAAATTTAGACGTTGTTTCTATCTAAAACACTGATTCTGTATAGTATTATTTATAGAATTTTAATTTAATTTTTTTGTTTTTACAGACATTATATATAAATACTATTTGAACACTAATTAATAGCCATATTTAGTACGCATTACTACTATATTTTATACGACCACTCAATATTCATTCTATGAAGTATAAATATGAAATATAAATCTATCGCCTAAAACTTAATGGTAAAGAGCTATAGGCACACTCCTACCAAAATTTAAAATAACCTGTAGATTCCCCCTACTCTTATATAGCATATTAATAGGTATGTTTTAGATTCTTAGCCAAGTTCGATTTATTAAAATGTGTCTTTTTTGTATGTGACACTATTGTATGTTATTTGTTTAGTATGCTGTATGTGGTATGCCCATAGGCGTGCGCAGTCCTGCATTTCAGGAGTGCCTGCAATAAGTTCGGGCCCTATCTTAACAAAACGCGCAGGTACATTTGATAAACTATTAAATAAACGTAACTTGAATTTTCTATTTGATATTATGCGATATATTAGTCCCAATTAATGTTTTCCTTGTGTATTCTTCTTAGATAGCTTCAATTATTTATGTTTTGTACCTTTGAAGCCAACTGTAGCTGTTGTGTCATCAAAAGAAGTTTTCTCACGAGAATTTAGAACATTTAGTTTTAGTTTGTCCATTACGAAACACTATTTATCTTTTACCAGATATTTTAGAGTAGATTACATTTCATTTGAGCAACATCAGTTATAATACAGACCCGTTACTCTTAGACTTCAATCGTAGAGGCCTATATACAACATTTCGAGAGGTGCCCGGACACACCCGTGTGCACGCCTCTGGGTATGCCATGTATAACATGAAATATTTATGAGGGGCTAGAACATTTAAGTTTGATTGAACAAACCCTAATTTATATTGTCGATAGTTACTAATTAATATTGTAATGTAACATGATGCACGGCGTACGGGTTAATGTGGTATAGGTGAGGTGTTATTAAGAAAAAAAGTCTCGGAAAAAAATTCCCCGGTGAAAAAGACCCCAGTAAAAAAGTCCCACTGAAAAAAATTTCCCTAAAAAAGTCTCTAAATTAATATATGATTTAAATTCAGTCTTTTATGCATAAACAAAATAAAATATACAATAACATATAATATCTTAAACATCTATAATATTATTTAAAAAATATATTTATTCAGATATAAAATATCTTTCTTATATTTTGACCGATTTGCTTTAAAAAATTAGGAATATCTGCAGATTTGTCCTTATCAAAACGCTTACATAAAATGTTCGGAAAATGATTACGTATGATAGGTACATGTACACCTTATCTACATATATGATTTTGTAAACCAAATATATTTTATAAATAAAATAATAAGAATAATGAAATATCGTTAAATTTATACTGAAACGATACTTTTTTCGGAGACTTTTTTTCCGAAGGACCTTTTAACCGGGGATTTTTTTTCCGTTTACCAGGTAAAGTGTTTTTAGTGTTTTCATAGATGCTGTTTGTTGCAATATTAAATTCTGAAAATTATCGATTTAAAATTTATCAATTTTCAAGTTTATTCTTCAATCAAATTGAAGAATATTCAAATAATACATTTCCGAACAAATTCGAAGTTTTTTGAAAATAAAAAAAAAATTAATTTTTTTAGAAAAATAATATAAATTCACACCTAAAAGTTCAAATAATCTATACATAAAAACAGTGGCAGTTTTTTGATCTTTTTCTAGGGGGGGGGGGAGTAAAGTAACCTAACATAAGAAAATATAATATTTTGATAAAAAAATGTATTTTATTATATTTATTAATTTTTGGTGAAACATAGCCGAAAGTTTTAAAATTGCTAAATGGCCTGGGGTGAAAATAATTAATATTAAAAAACATTAAAAATTACATTCACAATACAAAATAATTTACTTAGATTAAAATTAAAATTAACTACATATTATTATACCTTCAATGGGAGTGTCGCGGTCGATTGTAAAGTGAAAAGTGATTGTCAGTTTATCGCTGCCCTATCCGCTAATGTGCATTCTTCGAACGGCCGAACGCTATTATTATCACAAATAATAGATATCGTAAACGTCACAATTTCAGAGAAATATAAATACCTAAATAGCTGTAGCAAACATTCAAAAATACGGAATAATAATGATGAAATTATCAGAATTATGTATAAGCAAGCGTTATACCCGCATATAAATAGCTCCTCAAAACCCAAATGCCACGAACGAAAAATGTATCACAGCTTAAACTTGGAATCTGGGGGGGGGTCCATACTCCCTGGACCCCCTCACCGTAAAACCACCATTGCATTTAAAGAAATCCTGTTTTGAACAGTTTTCATCGGCCCAGCGGTATATCAATACGGCATACGATCGGTTATCGGTATAATTATCAAATAATAGTTAAAACAGTCAATAAGGATATTTTTTCTAAAAATAATGTTGCCTATTATGTATTAATTATTCCGTACAAAATACAAATTGACTGATTATTAGCCTAATGGTACTATTGTCGTGCAGTGGAGCCGACTTGTATTTTATTTGGTGGGGCAAAGTATAAAAACTTGTTAATCCACTACCCAAAAAGTTAGAGCAAAATAATGACAGGTTACATGATTGAATGATTATATTGTAAATTTAACCATCATTAAGTCGCTCGCTTCGCTGGCAATTTATCACTCCAATTTCATCTATTAGGTAGGTACTATTCAGCAGTGGCGTATTCAAGTGGGGTAGGGGGTTATAACTGACAGATTACACTATTAAATCTATTTTATAATACGGTTGTATTTATTGTTAAATCCGCCACTTAAAACAGCACATAATACTAATAATATAAATTATGATCGAGTAAAATGCCTCATTTTTATCATAAATCAGTAATCAAATTGACTGAAAATATTAATTAAAAATTAGGTATTAATTATTATCTACTTACCTTATTTATTGCTTACCTACTTCATAGTGGTTTTAGAAAAAAGCACTTAATATCAATTTGAAACATATATAAATATAGGTTAAATTATTTAAATATTAAAATTAAAGAAATGTAAAATAAAAATTTGTCCACCACTCGTTGGCCCTTACACGATCATGCAGTTAATGTAGTTAACTTAAATACAGTGCCGGCGCTAGATTTTTCGCTGTCCTGTGCCAATTATAATAAGCCGCCCTTTTATAATTTTTTTTTTGTGAAAAAAAGTTCATTATCCTTAATTATGGGGGGACGGTAGGGTGTTGGGTAGATAGTCTCTCAAATTCGAATGAAATCATGCGTTTAATTTATATGAATAATGTTTTAATACTTGAATCAAACGTGATGAACATATAATGTACCTAATGAAACAAAATTAAAGTATAAAGAGTTACAAAATATTTGAATTTTACATAAAATTCATAACTTTTTTCTTGCCTTGGCGTTGGCAAAATCGTTCACAATGTTCTCTAAATCTAATTCTTCACCTAGCTGATGCTCAATTGCAAGTTCACTAAGGCGATCATTAGTCATTGTTGTACGTAAGTAAGTTTGTATTGATTTAAGCTTAGAAAAGCTTCTTTAACCACTTGCCACTGTGACGGGTAACGTAAGAAGTATTCTTAAAGCAACTGACACATTTGGTGCAAAGTCTCCAGTATTGATGACAAATTTTAAAATTTCAACAGGTGTTAAGTTTGATTCAATCATTGGTATTAGAGATTTAAGTTCATCCGCCATTTCAAGTCCATTAATATCGACTGAATCTCCATCAGTCAACAATAGTTGTAAATTACTACTATTTATAGCGATATCTAAAATATAGTAAAAGAAGTTAACTTTGAAATGAGTTATAGGATCGATGATAGGTTCATCTACATTTTCGTAATCAAAATGTCTTCTTACATGGCGAGCTCTAACTCTCCCAACTGAGAACTCAAATAAAGGTTCTACATCATTTTCTGATTACGACGTAACGGTAGGAAATAAATAATAATCGATCGTAAAAACATATTTTCGATGTTCCAATGGAATCAATAGTAAAATGGCGTAGTTGAATTTTAGGAAATCACAAAATTTCGATTTTGGGCGGTACTGGCGAAACGCGCAAATTCTTGGATACGTTATTGCATGGAAACAAGCACAATTTGATCAAACGAATCTTCATTATCGAATCGCTGCTTTTTCAAATATGATAACAAATTTTCTAAAATGTTCATAACTGCACTAATGTCATAAATTATTATTATAATAATTGTGCACAGAAAAATATATTAACATTAATAAGTAATAAGTTATTATAAGAAATATTCTACGTCGAACTTAAAATATAGCATATTATATGCATAAAATTCATAAATATGCATATTATATGCATTTATTGAGAAAAAATGCGTGTTTTCATTAAAACCTCAATATATGCAAAAATATGCAATTTTTATTTGGTGTTTTTAAATTAGTTATAACTTAAAACAAATTTCTGTCTTACTTAGCAATTTATTGGAGTATTCAATAAAAATATGCAAATTCAATAAGTCCCGAGCTCTAGTCATAATTAATTGTTTGCATTAATTTGCTCACTGGATTAATTTGGTTTAGTAAATCATACCAAATGACCATAAAGCAACTTAAATTGCTTAATGTGTTTACATAGACAATCAGCTTCATGTCTAGTTATTGAGTCCAAATTTGTATCTTACAGAATTTCAAACAACGCATCATATATTTATCCAATTTGGTGTCGAAATTAATATTCTTTTAACTCATTTCATGGTTTAGATAAACATAAATTGCAGGTAGCAGGTATTAGGTACCAATATTGTTAAATAATACTCATAAGAGTTCATTAATAAAAGGTGCTAATTGTACTGTTGTATTATATGGGGAGGGGGAATTATACCTTTTTTTCTCAAAAAATTGTCAGAGGGGGTACTTGCCCCCTTGCCCTTCCCCAATTACAACAATGCGACCCCAAGTCAAAGTGTTCGCGACCCCCCTGGGAGTCGAGACCTCCTGGTTGAGAAACGCTGAGTTAGAAGAAACTAGTTTAAAAGAAGAACGATTGGGGAGGAAAACAAAATTGCCTAATGGAAATTGCAGAGATGAAGCCCTTCTAATGTTATTAACAAATTTAAGATAAATATATATTTCTATATTCTGGATAAAATAATTGATATATTAGACAGTCGTTTTCAATCCAGTCGAGGTATATTAACAAATTTCAGTTGACTATCATATGCTCGTATTAAAGATGACACAAAAGACTCATTTCTTCCTCCATATACATTTTTAGAACTTCATAAATGGCTTCCTGAGATAAATGTGAGCAATTTACAATCTGAATATTTGGCTTTTGCAGCAAATTTTGAATCTTTAGAAGTTGGTGTTAGTAATCAGGAAATATCTAAAATCTTTGCTCAACAGTCAAACAATATTAATAAGAATGATGCGATTAATATATGAAACGAGTTATTGTACAATCTTGGGTTATTTTGTGCGTCTTTAACTACTTTAAATACTTTCATTATTAATCGCATCACAATTATATGTAGTTTAAGTAATAATGTCATACATTTTGTCGGGAGGAGGGGGTATACATTTCCCCCCTGGGGGTATTACACCCCCATCGGTCATCTTCCTGAAATAAATACTGAGTGCGACCCCTTGCGACCCCCAATTACGCCACTGTGTATGTAATCGGAGCTTCTGAGTTGGGCCCGGAGTACTAGGGGCTAATCGCAGGTAATGTACTAGTTGGGTCCCGGATTTTATAGGTACTAAACTAGTTGGGTCCTGAATTATTTTAAGTATTTCACTAGTTTCTGAATATTTTTTGATAAGTACTACATTTTACTAACATTTTCCTTCCCATTTTAACAGAATTAAGACTGTCTATGATCTATTTAAACCACAGGTATAGTTAAAAATGTTTTTTATAGTTTTTTTTATGGTTTTTTTTAGTTTCTTTTCCATTAAATATAATTTATTAGAATTGTATTGGTAAAAATATTAAAAATGTTTAAATCATTATATAATATAAATAAAAATTAATGGAAAAGAAACTAAAAAACAAAAAAAAACTATAAAAAACATTATTAACCATACCTGTGATCTAAATAGATCATAGACAGTCCTAAGTCTGTTAAAATGGGAAGGAAAATGTTAGTATAATGTAGTACTTACCAAAAAATATTCAGGAACTAGTGTAGTACTTATAAAAATCCGGGACTCAACTAGTGTAGTACCTAAAATAATTCGGGACTCAACTAGTGTAGTAATTTTAAATTCGGGGCCCAATTCGGATGCAGCCTATGTATGAAATTATGAAACAAAAAGAAGAAAATATGTTCATGAGCTAAAATAGTAATTTTTTTTTTTTTCAGGAATCAGATAAATCAGTGAAAGAACACGAAACTAGAAGCAATTTTTTTTTAAACAGTTTTTATTTTATAAATGTATTGTTTTAATAATTTATAAAATATTTCTATGAAATTAAGTTAATTATTTTTTTTCATCAGTGATATATTTTCTGTCTTTTCGATATACATTGATTCCACCAAATATTGCTCTAAAAATTTATATATTTATTCGTTTCTTTTCCTTGTTACCACTATTTCTGTTAGAGGTTACTTTTACAACAAGAACTTATTGGAATAAGATCGTAATTGTAACTTTTTATTTTTTTTATTTTTATAAGAAATTTACAATTTGTACTTAGGGCACAATAAGTAAATATGATACAAGAATACATATATAAAATATTGTAAAAAAAAAAAAAATATTAAATAAACAGTTTACAATAAATTATACATAGAAGGAACATGTAACGTTTCAGGAAAGCAGCCACACATTAGTGACACTATAATTTGGTAGTATATATAAATTATATACATTTTCTTTTTTGTTTTTTTTTGTTTTCTTAATATTTATATTTATTTAGAACGTGTTTTATATAACAAGCAAATCGCGGCACCGTTTGCATTTTAACCTTCTTGGAGGATTACCGGGGATTATTGGGATAGAGAGATTTATAGCAAGCGGATTGGGGTGATGGTGGAAACGTTTATAATTCATTTTAGGTTCATCGTGCACTAGCGGCATTTTTAGATCAGTATGAATAGGATGATTAGATACGTAGGGAGGAGCATTTAATAATTTTCGAAGCGCTATATTTTGGAAGGTTTGAATATTACTGAGATTAGACTTTTTTGCGTTTCCCTATAGTTGCAGTTCATATGTCTACATGGGTTTGAGTAAGGATTTATAAATAAGTAGTTTAGTACGAGTGTATGTGTTAATTTGTTATTATAAATGAGATTTTTTAAAAGACGTTAATCGTTGGTTTAAGTTTACTCTTTTTGATTTGATATGCTGGGCCCGGGTCAACCTTTTATCAAGGGTTAAACCAAGATATTTAGTATTCTGAGCACATGGAATTTGGGTCTCATAAACATCATCGCAAGAGTTAAGTCTGAGAGTGAACGTCGTGTGGATAGATTTTGATTGACTAATTTTAAATCTCCAGTTGGTGTACCAATCTTCCATAAGGGTGATATGAGATTGGAGATTTTGAATTACTAAAATCGTCCAGACCCTATCAAACGCCTGAGAGATGTCGATAAATGCATTTATACACTAAAGTTTTATCTCTAACGCGTAAGAGCATCGTTAAAGCATCGACGACTCTATGGAATTGTTGTATAGTTGAATGGGAACTGCGAAATCCAAATTGAGAATTGGAAATGATGTAGTTTTCTACAATACACGGGAGCAGACGTTTAAGTAAAATATTTTTCCAGAATTTTGGAAAAAATAGAAGTAGGATTATTAGACATAAAGAGGAAATTGAATCAGGTGGTTTATTAGATTTGTGGACCAAAATAATAGTAGAAAATTTCCATAAAATTGGGGAGTAAGACAGTTGTAAATCAGAGTTAAAAATATGGGAAAGATGAACAATTACTTTTTTTGATAAACATCTAGCTACTTTAGCTGTTATAATGTCAAATCCTGGGGATTTTTTAGGGAGCATTGATTTATGGCAAATTTGATATAATTTGGTGTGAAGTGTTTAACAGGACCAGCCGAAGAACGTGATGGAGAATTTAGATAATTATTAACATTATTAATAATGGTATGTGAGAATATGTCTGGGTGAGGTTGAAAATATCAGAAAAATGCGTTTTAAAAAGTTCAGCTTTGTCGGGGTCAGAAATTACATAGCTGCCATCTGAATTTTTAATTGGTAGGTGAGCAGATTTAAATGTACATATTTTTCTGGTCTCTCTTCAAAGACTACTAACTTTAGTAGAGAGATTAAAAAGAAAATTAGCAAGAGACTCGGATTTATGTTTCGCCATCACTTTTTTGAGATGGTTGGTAAATTTATTATATTTTTGTTTATCAGACGGAAGGCATGTTCGGTGACACAGAGCTCTAACTCTATATTTTTCTACAATAATACTGCGTATATATTCTAGAATTAGAAGATGATGAGATGAAGTTTGAAGTTTTCTTGTTGAAGACCAAGCGCAGACTATATAAATTTCGTAAGATTACTTACGACAAGATCAATGTCATCAGGTGTTTTAAGTGTTACATTCAGACGAATTAGTTGATCATGTTGCGTGCCGTCGTCCAATCGTAATCGATGTTGAAGTTTTAAAGGAATATTCCAAATAAAAATACTCAAATATAATTTAACTGTTTATTTAAGATTTTTCTAAGTACAAAACAATAAATGATCTGGCGTGAAGGTGCTTGCGACTATACATGTAAACCACATCTCCATAATAGTCTGTTCGGGACTACCTTATATACTCCGTTTTTATGGGATATTTGACCCGGACATAGTTTAATATTAATATTAATATTCTAGACCCCCTTCGAAAAGTATCTACTATCCAATTTTATAATACCTTTTAAATACATGTTTTGTATATTGTTTCGGTCATGGCATACGATGCCAATTTTATTACCTTGTAACGGCACGTCCTGATAGTGTTTCGGTTTTTGCAACAATACCAGTTATTTGTATGTGACTCCTCTGTAAAATTTGGATATTCATAAAGGCATATATTATGTATATCTACCACGTAGATATCATGGTGTTTTCACATATAGTGTAATTTGTATGTATGTAATAATGTATATTATAATGCAAGCTCCATGTATTGGTAGTCGTAAGGACCCACATTTATGTATGTCCGCAACAATCAACAAGATCATGGAATTTATACTTGTCAGTAGAGGAATTGAATAATTTAGGAGAATCCTGGTGTGTTAGTGGGGAAGTACTTACTGTTAACATAACTGAGAAGTGATCGTAATTAGGTTCGAGGAGGTTTTCTGTTTTACAGTAAAGGTTATTAGAAATTTTAGCAATAAAAATATCTAAGATATCAGGATTTTTGTGTTATGAGGTTAGCCAGTACGTAGGACCAGGAGGAGCAAAAACTTTGAGGTATTTGGTTGAGATAAAATTTTGGAGAACTAGTCCACGCGGATTATTTGTATGACAGCCCCATAATAAGTGTTTTACATTATAGTCACCTCCGACTATAAAACTGTGTTTTATTATGTTGACTTAGTCTGTAAGGATTTGGTTTGTTATCTTGTGTTTAGGAGGCAATGGTGATAGGGACGTTATTTTAATTAATATTTATAGCAGAGAATTGCAAAAAAAGGTTGGTAAAAATTTGGAAGTGTTTGATAGATAATCGACGATTTAATTAGAATAGCAACTCCACCATGTGCAGTGTTGTCTGAATGATTGGTTTTTAATAATTTATAATCTGGGATAAAGATGGAAGAATATTTGGTGAAATGGATCTCTGTTATAAGAGCATTATCTATCTTTGATCGCGAAGTACAGTTTCAACTTTATTAATATGGTCTTTTAGGCCATTAGCATTAAATTGGAGGCATAGGCGTGCGCAGACCTCTTTTTCAGGGTATGCAAAAGGATGCCCCTGCTACCCCCCCTCCTAAAACTGAAAGTTAATTTAAGCGTTCGAAATTCTGATCTTAATAACTATTTAATTTAAAATTTTAATTTTTTTTCTGAAAAAAGTAACTGAATAGTCATTTCTAAATCGTTATAATTGTCTTCATAATTAAAATTTAAAATAAATTACGGAAAAAAAAAATTAAGTACATAACACTTTAAATGGTTTGAGTAATACGTTTAAATAAGGTAAATAAATAAAAACGTAATTATATACTTAAATGAAAAATAAAATAAATTTGATAAATTCAAAATTAATCATAAAACGATTCTGCGTACAGTTGAATTCTTAATATCACCAATAATGTTTTCGGGATTTTAATTTATAGCCATTTCTTGTTCTGTAGTTGATAGCTATTTAATCTCGCTTGGATTATTGTACTTCTTAATTTCATTAACTCATTAAATCGTTATTATAGCATATGATTTGTGTTTCAAAAATAAATTAAACTGTCTGGGACTGACTATAAAAATATAATAAAAATCATAATGTAATACAAAATCACATAATGTACATAAGACAAAATATGTCATAATTTTTATTAATTTTTTGTAATTTTAGAAAGAAGGCTCTATGTTTAGGGTGTGCAGTTGCATACCCTGCTTATCCACAGCACACGCCTATGATTGGAGAATAATCAGAGATTTATTTGTAATATTACTAGACATTAAAATTTTATCAAGTAGCTTAGTGATTACTTTATTGAAAGAGAGATGAAAGAGTTAATAAGGGATTTAAACTCCTCAAGAAAATTTGTAATTGTATTACTTAGATTTTGTGTTGTGATGGGAGGTATATTGTCTGTATTGTTTGATTGGTCAGAAGTGGCTTGAGCAGTGGCGTAGCTAGAATTTTCTGAAGAGGGGTGTTAATTATAAATAATAAATATTATATATAATATGTACAAACTAAAACTTTTATTCTAATTAATTAATATGTATACATAATGTCTATAATAGAGATGTAATGTATATTCGAATATTCGAATTTGAATAGCTTCACCGTTAATAATTCAAATATTTGACTGTTCGAATATCAGTATTTAATTCTATAATACCTATTATTATTAAACGTTTTGTGTTGCGCGAAAACTTAAACGAATAATTTTCGTCACATATTATATTTTAGCATCGAATACTGATATTCGAATGGTCGAATATTCAAATATACACCGTTAAAGTTTAAAATAAACAAATAAATAAAATTCGACGTCATGATTTACATATATCTGCACAGTCCAGACTCGAAACTGAAGACCGTGATGAGTTATACAACCATATCTCAGTTATAAATGAAAAGTCATGCTTTATTATCTATATGCTTGCGGCGGTAACGGACGCATTATACCACTTTACGTTACGCGACCTATTATGTGGTCGCCACGGACGCGTAGTTATCACATAGCAGTCCCCGTCGTCGAAAGCGTATTCGCAATACCGCATTACTGCAACAATCGCGATAATGTTAACCTGTATGTGTTTTATCAAATAAGGGAGGAAGTTAAAATTATCAAAATTGTTACACAGTGTAGAATAGTAAAACCTAGAAAGTTTAAAAAAAAAAATTATTTTTAAATTCCTAATACTTCCCGAGATATTAACTGGTTCACGATAAAAAAATCACTCTGTATGTAATTAGTATGATGCATTATTTTATATTTCATATTATATTTACAATTTACCTATGCTCCTATAATAATGTAATATATGATACGGTTCAAGGGGGGTGTCATATCCACCAAACATCCCCCTTGTATACGCCACTGGGCTTGAGCATAAGTGGGAAAGTGATTTGGGCGTTGGTTTGAATGAGAGTTTGTTAAGGGGTGGTTGTCTCTTACATTTGTAATCTTATTCCCAGGGCTTAAAACCGGTAACCGGTTTTTATTGAAAATCGGTAAAAACCGTAAATTTGAGAACCGAAAACCGATAACCGCTTTTAGTTTTGAAATGCTGGACGAGGTTATTGGTTATCGGTAATCAAGGTAAATATCTATATCAGGGTGGTACAACCAGCGGCCCTCGGTGTCTTATTTTTTGCCCCCCCCCCCCAAAAAAAAAGTTAAATTAATTATTTATTTTATTAATTAAAAATTAAAGTCACAATAATATATTAACAAAATTGGGATATTATCGTATAAATTTTACATTTTATATTTCTAGTTTATGGCATTTATGCTATAAAACGTAGGAATACGACGGGAGTTCCCGTAATACGATTTTAATATATATGAAGAATTACTTCAAATAAAACCACTAATTACTGGAAATATGGGTATAGATATATTTGAAGAATTGAAAAAAATGATTTCAGATTTTGGATCATTTTCAAATGCACTGGTATAATTACTGATGGTGCGCCAGTTATGGTTGGCTTACAGTGGCGTAGCCAAGGAGGGGGGGGGCTAAATGGGCTATAGCCCTCCCCTATGGGCCGTGTTTATATGTATAATGTATCTTGACTATTTAATAGAATCAATGGATGCTCGTTTTAATCAAAGGCTTATTGATGTTATGCCACTTGAAGGACTTATTCCGGCCAATTTAAATATGTATGACAGTAAAAATATTATAAAAGCTGCTAAAATATATGTCCAAGATCTCCATGATGATACCTCATCTACAATCAGAACTAACCTGTTCATATGGAGGCAACAATAGAGTCAAAATACTATTCCAAAACCGAATTCTGCTCTTGATTCACTCTCTCATCGCACCAATCTTCGACCTAACATTAAAATACTTTTACAATTATTCGCCACGTTACTAGTTACCTCTTTCACTCCGGAAAGAATGTTTTCAGCACTTAATCGCTTAAAAATTTTTTTAAGAAGCACCATGTTGGAAAATAGACTGAATGGGTTAGCTATGGCTAATATAAATAAAAAAGAGCAAATCGATGAAAGTGAAATAATAACTGAATTATAGCCAGAAATTCACCTAAGAGGATGCAGCTGTCAGAGTGAAGCAAGTGACTGAACACTGAAACCAAAATTATTATTATTATTATAAATTATATATTAATAAATATTTTTAAAACTATAATAAAATGCTTGAATTACGTTTAGAAACTTGGTGGTAGATGGTGGGAGAGGGGGTTAAGGGTGAATTCTCATATCCTCTCTTACCTTACTTATCCAAAAAAACTGTTAGCCCCTCCATTTAAAAATCCTGGCTACGCCACTGTTGGCATACATACTGGATTAGTAGGAAATTTAAAGCAAATAGGGCTAAAATGTTTATTTATTCATTGCATTATTCACCAATAAGCGCTTTGTGGCAAGTTTTTTTAAAACTAATGAAACTATGAAAAAAGTGATAAGCATTGTTTATTATATTCATGGTGGTAACAAAGGTCAAAGACACAGAGCAGTGGCGTGGTGAGGGGGTTTTCCAGGGGCCGCGGCCCCACCGGGTTATTGGGTGGGTGGGTGGGTAGGTACTGGGTGTCATTAAAAATTGGGGTAAAATATTTAATAAATAAAATGTAGGTAGGTTTAGTTATGCGCATTACACATTAGGATTGTCATTTGTCGCCAATATGACAAGTACAACACGCAAGATGTTACAAGTTACAACATAATTCAAAATATTAAACTTAAAAAGTTATTAATCAGTATCAACAATATTCGAATATTATTGCTAATTGCATTGTCATGATAAAATAGATTAGTCCGTGGTAGACGTAAACAAAATGTCAAATGTCAATACGTTACTACTTACAAGTGCACCACCACCCACCCCCTCCTCGATACGTGGTGATAAGGTACCAGCAGTGTATATTAGGTATTTATTTTTAGAAATGCGTTTCTCTGAAGCTAACCAGTGAGCGGCGGAGACCGTATCCATTGGCTTCACGATAATTATTACGAATTGCGATTTACGAAGTATATAACCTGAAATCGACATTTTCCACTAAATATTTTAAACTTTAGTGAATTTGTTATTTTTCATATTTTATTTTGTTTGAGCTACGTACGTCGAGTTATGCTGCATAAAGTATTCTACATTGGTTAACTTGTAATTTATTCAGTTCAGTTTTATTTTTTGTTAATTAATATAATAATATTAACTTTTAGTTAATTATACTGATTACTGGAAATATTTGTTGTTTTTAAATAAGTGCTGGAAACCAGATCTAATCGGGAGGTAAGTCTCGTTATTTTTTAAATACTTATAATTATGGCTAACTTAGTATACTTATAGCTATTTAGATAAGTACCTAGTTGTTACATTTTAAGTTAATAAAATTGATCCATGTATGATGCATCTTGTAACATACTTAGTATCAATTAGTTAATTTCTATAACATAATTAAAAACTAAATAATAAAAGTGTTAACTATAGGAAATTAATTTAACTTTCAACATGCCAAAAAAATCATATTTTATATAAAATTAGTTTTTTCAGACTTGCAATATGTCGTTAGTTGAAGAAGTTTGTGTTTGTGGTAAAATGAAAGCAAAAATGAATAGTACAAATTGGCTAAGACATACTATAGCATGCAAAAAACGAAAATCAGTAGAAAGTACTGCAAAGCTCAGTACATTTTTTAAGTCGTCTAGAAATGTTTCTGACAAAGGTAAGTATAATACCTAGGTATTTTATGTTTATTATTATTTTGTTGTAAACTAGTACAATTGAGTCGCGATAACTCAAACTTCAAAGTTAAAGTTGAATAAAAATTCGCTTTGAGATATCTTACTAATTTATATAGGGGAATAGTAAATTATATAGGAATAATAAAAAAATAAAATTGAGTTGTCAAGATTTTCGAGTTATTGAGGTTTGAATTATTGCGATTCAACTATTATATTATAATACACTTCTTTTATGTATCTAATTTTAATGCTGACGACTATATTCAATCTTACATAATTTGAAATGTAGCCATGTAGGTACCAACACTGTTTTTATAAATATTTATTTGTTCAGTTCACAGTTTTAATTTAAATACTGTAGTCTGTAAGTAGTATTTTAAAATAAAGTTAATGTGATGATTTTATTTATTTAAATTTGTTGACTGGAGATCAACCCAAATCTTAAATTTTTACTGATGAACAATGAACCACATTTACTATTAATGAACAATGTGGTAAATTATTTTTGGTTGATACTCAATGAATAATATTACTACTTATCTTACTATCTTTTATTGACATGTATATGTCTTATGGCTGGGGGTCATTCTGTTAATTTGTGCGACACCGAGAATGTTACCATGACGTCATTAGCGTTTAATATGATGTGTATGCGTGTGTGTGTGTGCATCGACCGGTAGAAACCGGTTCCCGGAAATAGGCGATTATACGAACGTTATCGGAATTGCGGTGTATTGTGATCTATTAGTAACATTAGGTATAGCCCGTTACATATATATATATATAAATTTCACTGCTATATATAAAATCACCGCTGCTATACCGTATTTCTTTTTTCGTTCATCAGTTGTGCGCCCGCCGGAGTTTAATATGGAATAATCGTGTGTGTATTGAGTATTTATACTATGGCTCCGAAACGTAAAGCCGAGTTAATGCGAGAATCTCGTAAACGTAAGCGCGATGATGAATTACGTGATAGCGATGAGTTTTTTTTTACACATGTTAAAAAATTTACCTACAGTTTAATTCTTGTCTCCTCGTATCTAATACCAATTTGTCATTGACATTCTTATGTCAACTATATTCAGAAGAAACTAGACATATACATGTACCGATGTATCTGCATGTAGTGTAGATACTCTAATTTTTTTTTATTTATCTTCTCAGACTCGCAATGTTGTAAATAAATGTATATATGAAATACTAAATTACTAATATATGATTCTTTAATCTTAAGATTATAGTATAATAAACAATATTTTACATTACTACTTACTAGTATGGCTCAACATTTAATTTTCTAAAAAACTATTTCATATAGGTACAATTTATCTACATACGTTGATGGCTTGATGCATTAACAATTTATGAAAATTAATTAAAACATACTCTTAAAATGCAAATAATATATAGACTTGTGTTAAAAATAAACAAAATTATTAAAAACAATTTATTGTAGATTTAAGTTTTTTTAAGTTAGTTTTTTTTTCAGTTGAAACACTGGTTATAGAAACTATTGATAGTATTGTATGTGAACAACGTAAATCTGACAGTCAGAATTATTCCGAATCAATACCCAATGATGATGTTATTGATTCTAATTTGTTGACTGAAATTCAATCCACATCTTACACTAATTCTGTCGAACCAAAAGGTAATAATTAAATAATCTATTTAAAAAAATTTAAATTAGCTAGTTTTATTTTTAATTTCCAAATCATTATTCTCGCGATAGCAGTCGTCCGCTTCGCACGCGTTCCATGCGCTCTCGTAAATTTATTAGCTCGTTAATTAATTTTAATTATAACTATATTGTTTTTCTATCACCTCACCAGTATAGTTATGTGAGAACGTACGTAACTTTCAACTCTTTTTCTTTACGAAAAAAATAAATAAATTAAATCTGTTTATTTCGTTCAAGTCAACTAAATGTAAGTGAATACTCAACAAACGAAATTTACATTTCGGTTGTTTCGGTCAAACTTGCACGTTACTGCATACGTTTTTTCCTATCTGCGGCCGCCGCGGCCGTTGAGATAAGCGTAATTACCTGCAAACGCTATCGCCAGCCTATGAGTATAATACTCTCACTTGTCCTTAATTTAATTTCTAATATCAATATCAATAATTGACCATGAATTCCAATAATAATCAAAATAACAAAAACAACAAAAACAACACAATCTCTCCGATTACAATTGCGAGAAATAAAAACGATGTCACACCTGATCAAGGTTGGTCCGTCAAAAACTCCACCAACAACAAAAGAAACCAC